AAACATAAGTCAGAGCAGGTCCCTCATCTCACTCAGAGTCAAAGCCAGGTCCTCACTGGGACCTTCCAGGTCCTACATTTTCTGAACCCATTTCCTTTCTGGCCTCACCTCCCACACACCCCCTGTGCTCTCTACAGCCACTCTGGTCTCTGCAGTTCCTTAAACAAGACAAGGATGCTCCCACCTCAGGGCCTTTGTACATGCTGTTCCTCAGCCTGGTACACTCTTCCGCAGATAGCAAGGTGATTTGTTCCCTTATCTCCTTTGTCCAAACATCACTTTCTCACTGAGACTTTTTTCCTGGCTAACTTTTCTAAATTGCCACGACCAGCCACCCTCATCCCTATATAACCAATCCCTCCATTTAATTTTAATTTTTCTCCATAGCTCCTTTTCCTAGATAACTCACTTATCCTGCCTACCATCTGTCTCCTCCACATTGGAATGGGGACTCCATGAGGGCAGGGTTTTGTCTGCCTTGTTCACTGTTATCTCCCCACAACCTACAACAGTGTCTGGGGGGCATAGCTGCATCTCAGTGAATATTAAAATGAATAAAATTCTAATTCACTAACTATAAAATATCAAGCAAGTTAATAACCTCACTAAACCTCAATGTCTTCATTTGTAAAATGGGGCTCTTATTACCTACTTTCCAATGGGTTATGGGGAGTCATTTGAAGTAATGGTAGAAAAAGCTTTAGATTTTTACATGCGGAAAGTGAAATGTGGCCTTGTGGTTAAGAGTTTGGGCTTGGAAGTGGGTCAGATCTAGGATCAAATCCAGGCACTGGCACTCTGTGACCCCAGGAAAGTCCCTTTCCCTCTCTGAGCCTCGGTTTCCTCACTGGTAAAATGGGAATAAAGGCTCCACCTCAGGAGTTGGCAGGGACCGTGTGTTAGACAGTGCACTCCAGGTGGGCTGGCCGGTTGTGAACGGGTTATGATTATCTCTGGGGCGAGCCCTGGTCTGCTGATTCCTGTAGGGGAGCCATTTGGGGGCCTCCTTTCTCTCTCTGGGTGTCCGTTTCCTCCTCTGTAACAGACTGACAGGGAGTGGGAAGAAGGCTGCCAGTGGCTCTCTGGGACCTGCCGTTTCCTTACAGAAGGCTGAGGGTGCTTGAGGAGCAGTGAGGAGCTAGGCTAGTGCTCTCAGTTTTGGTAGCTGAAGGTCCTTCATCCCTGTGCTGTTGGCCTCTCCTCCCTCCTTCTTCCTCTTCCTCATCCCCCATGATCTCAGCAGGGAGCAGGGCACCAGGAAACTCCTGCAGCCTCACCTCTTCCCCTTCCTTCCTCCTGCTCCAGGTGCACCCTGTTTCCCAGGGGGTATGGAGGATGACATCATCTCCCCCAGCTTAGGTTGCTCCCTGAGCAGCCACTGGGATGACCCCTCAGGACCCACAGGAAAGGAGACCCTAGTCTTACTCAGAGGTAACTCTTCAAAGGCCGTCTTCCTCAAACTGGATGGATCCTCAGAGACTATCTTTGACTCATCTGGAATGCTGAGGAGACTAAGGCTCAGGGTGAGGCAGAACTAGCCTGAGATCACCAGATGAGGCAGCTCTCCTGACTCCAGGGCGCAGGGCTGAGGTACAGGGCTCCTGGAGAAAGGTTGGGCAGTCCCTGGCCTGGTGGGCAGGTGAGACACTGGGTCCAGGGACACCAGCAGAAGGCTCAATCTGGTCTGCTAACCCCACCACCCTAGGATTCCCAGAGACTTGGGGTGACTGGTAGTGAGGCAGAGTCTCTCCATTTCCTCAGTCAGCTCCAGGCCAGACCTGATGCCAGAGGCACTTCCAGAAGCACCAGGACCTCTGCCCAAGAGGGGAGAAAGGCTTGGGTTGGGTCCTAGGCTTGGCATTCTCAAGGTTCCTAAAGACTACCTTCTCAGAGGCCCTGACCCTGCTGTTGTCCAGTCATTAAGAGCATAGACCTAGAAGTCAGAATTAAAGCTGTTTCTGACTTTCTTTAAAATGAAAAAACCAAACACGTTGCCATTAAGTCGATTCCGGCTCATAGTGACCCTACAGGACAGAGTAGAACTGCCTGATAGGGTTTCCAAGGAATGGCTGGTGGATTCAGACAGCCGACCTTTTGGTTGGCGGCCGAGCTCTTAATCACTACGCCGGCTGCGTCAAACTGGGCATGTAAACCTCTCTTTCCTCATCTGTAAAATGGGAATGATGATAGTACCTCATTCCTAAGGCTGTTGTGAGTAGGTGAGCCGATGCCCACTGTGCGCCAGGGCAGGGCGGGGACAGCGTTAAACCCAAGGAAATATGGCTTAGAAAAGTCCATGACGCTAAACCGGTACCTGGGTTTGTCAGCTGCACTCCCAAACCCATTGCCCTCCAGTCGACTCCGACTCACAGAGACCCTATAGTACAGAGTAGAACTGCCGCATAGAGTTTCCAAGGCTGTAAATCTTTACAGAGGAAGCAAACTGCCACAACTTTCTCCCGCGGTAGCAGCTGTTGGGTTCGAACCAGGGACGTTTGGGTTAGCAGACAAGCACTTAACCACTGAGCCACCAGGGCTCTGTCAGCTGTCCTAGGGGCTCGGATTTCCCTCTCAGACTACTGCTGTCCCCGCCGGCCCTCCTCCGGCCCAGCTGGGTCACTCACCCTCGAGGCACCAGCGCGGGGCATCTTCGGCCCACTGCAGTCATGATTTCCCCGCGGTCGCCGCCAGCAACACCCGGACCTCCTCAGCCCGGCGGCTCCCGCCTTTCTCTGGCCACCGAGCGGCGGAGTATCAGGCAGGGCCCGGGGGCGGGTCTGACCTGTAGACCACGCCTCCGGGCACGCCCCTCCGGCCTCTGCTGGGTTCCGCTCCACCGCCAGCTACTCCAGCAGAGAAAGCTGCGCCGCAAACACCGCCCTCCGCCTCCTGTCTCGTTCCGCCCTCTACCCATGCGTCCGCGTTGGGGGCGGGGGAGCCACGCCCGCCGTTGCACAAACCCCATCACCATCCACCTCTCTCCGTCCGGCTCCAAAGCTTGCTTCCCCAACGGTCCACAGCTACAAACGGGAAAGGACTCGCCCCCTAGACACGCCCCTTCGTCCCACCCCGCTCCCCCAGGCTGTCCGCGTTGCTGGATGGGAAGGACCAGGCTCCTAGTGAACATCTCAGACTGCGGGGTATATCAAACCCCCACAGGCCCATCAGGCCCTCACCTCTAAACACACAATGCTTACTCCTCCACGCCCAGATGAGCCAGATTTAGAAGGGTTTGGCAGGAGAAGGGAGCCTGGGGCAGCCAGGGATGGTGGAAAAGCATTAGTTTCATTAATCATAATCATAAGCATTCCCATTCACTGAGCATTTCGGTGTGCCAGGCACTGTGCTAAGATTTTGGAGGTATATTACCCTTGAATCCTCACCACAGCCCTATGAGATAGGTGATATCATTATACCCACTTTTCAGATGAGGAAACTGAGGCTCTGAGAGGGGAACAGACTTGTCCAAGGTCATGCAGGTAGTAAGAGGACGAGACTGAACTGGTTTCACTGTGTAGCTTTACAGGGTTCCACTCCCCAATGAACAGGGGTCTACACCACTAGATTACAGCCCAGTGCACAGAAGCTGTTTGATGTCTCAGGGGAAGGCCACTCAAGAAAGGTCCCAGAATCTACCCTAGAGTTACTTTTGCTCAGCTGGGTTTTTTCTCTTTATTACAGCAGGCACTTCTGACTGGTGTGGTTTAGTCAAAAGAACCTGGATGATTCCTTTGGTTGGGGGTGACAAGTCTCCCAGAGGCATGAAAAAAATGGCCCTAGGCTTAGAAGATGGTTGGTACAACGTGATGGATAAGTGTAAGGCCACAGAAGGCAGGCAGATTCCAGCTAAAATCCCAGCTCTACAACCTGGGCTGAGTCCCTGTTTTCCCATCTGTAAGATAGGGCTAATAACAGAAATTTCTACAGAGTTTTCAGTGAGATAACATTTGTTTTGAAACTCAGTAAAAACGCTTACTGAAGGGGAGCTATTGCCACATCATCATTATTTGTATTTTTGCATGAACTCAACTCATTCTGTGTTATGGATTGAATTGTGTCCCTCCAAAAAGATATGTGGAAATCCTAACCCCTGGTACCTGTGAATGAGATCTTGTTTGGAAGTACCGTCTTTGAAGATGTTATCAATTAGGTTAACATGACATTATACTGGAGGAGGGTCCTAATCCAAGATGAATGATGTCCTTATAAGGAGGAGAAGACAGACAGACACAGGGAGACAGAGGAAGGACTCCATGTTACGCTGCAACTGCAAGCCAAGGAACACCTGGAGCTACCAGAAGCCAGGAGAGAGGCATGCAAGTTTCCCTCTCAGAGCACTCAAAGGAATCAACATAGCTGATACCCTGATTTGGACTCTAAACCGCCAGAACTGTGAGACGATAAATTTCTTGTCTTATAAGCCACCCACTTTGTGGGATTTTGTTACGGCAGCCTAGGAAACAAATGCACCCTATAACCAAGTTAAGTTGACAAATAGTTTTTTAGATCAGGTTAAGCAATGTTGTCCAACAGAACTAAACACGGTGAGGAAGTTGGGGGTAGCAAAGGACGGATCCATGACGGGGGTCAGGGCTGGCCCAGCAGCTGAGTGCTCATGCTGGAGACTGTCTACAGCTTTGGAGTCTGGTGGACCTCAGTTCAAATCCTAACTTTGTCATTAGCTAGATGTGCCGCCTGCCTAGGGCAAATGACTTCCCCTCTCTGAGTCTCAGTTTCCGAATCTGTCATATGGAAATAATAATAGTACCACCTCAATGAAGTTTTTTTTTTCTGAGAATTAATTACAAGTGAAAATCTCAGCACAGAGCCCGGACCGTAGTAAGCACTTGGTTAACATGTAAGTTTCTTTTTCTTTTCCTTTTCCTTTTTTTTAACCCAGATATGTGTGTTGGTGGGGTCCTCTCCAGGGTTATATCAGCAGGAGGCTGGAAACACCATCCCTGTAGGTCCCACTCCACCCGCGCCTGGTGGGGACTTACCTTTCTGAGGGCACATCCCTGGGAGCACTCTCCTCTTCCATGTCTACTTTAGGGTCCTCAGGCTTTCTCGTGGGGCCGATCTCCACTGCTGATGGATTGGGCTTAACTGCTGGGGTGTCATCCAGGGGAGAATTGGCCTGCACCACCACCTCCTTGACTGCCTCCAGGCCTGGAGGGTCTGGCAGACCTCGGGATACCAGGTGGGGCTCAGGACCCACCTCTTGAGCTTCCCGGGCAGGCTGTTGGTCTCGAGCCCTCTTGGTGTTGGGGCGAGGCATGGTGCCCATATGGCTGTACATGTCACTTGAGCGGGCATAGGCCGGGGGGCTTTTGGGAACTGTCACCATGTCATCTTGCGTGGCTTCAAAGGTGTTAGGCTGCAGATGGGATTGGATGCTTATGGGGGATGAGGAATGTCGCAGAGTGAAGGACCGGGAGAGGCTGGAGAGACTCCCAAAGCCCTTGAACTTGAAGAACTCTGGTAGGGGTGGGAGGAGCAGAGGAAAAGGAATTAATGACAATGCTAGCAACAACACTAATAATAATAAATATTTTCAGTACCACTTACTGAGGGCCCAAGGAGGTTGGAGGGCTTCATTGAAACCCCCTCTGATCATTATCACATTCTCAGGAGGTGGTATAACACCATGGCTTTGGAGTCACACAGCCCTCGGCTTGAATCTCTGCTCTTTCACATCCTGGCTGTGTGACCTTTGGCAAGTCCCTTGACCTCTCTGAGTCTCATTCTCCATATAAGTAAAGTGGGAGTTATAATACCTACCTTCTTTTATAGCTGTGGGAGGATTGAAGTAAAGCATGTAAGTAACATGCTTAACAGGTAATGATGACAATGAAGATAATGATGATGGTGATCATTATTGTGATAAATACCTTTGCATTTGTCAAGCATGCTGCCTGCATTACCTCATTGAATCCTCAGCATAACTCAATGAGCCAAGCTTAATTTCCCATTTTCCAGATGAGAAAATTGAGGTTCAGAACAGTGAAATGAACTGCCCTGGGTCACACAGTCAATAGGTGAAGCATGTATGTGTAAGCGTGGGCACCCGTGTGTGTACATGTGTGTGTGTTGTGTAGGAGGGGCACTCAAGTGAGTCTCTGTGCACCAGGGATGGGGATGAAATGTAAAGGGGTGTTGGGGGCCTGAGGGTTGCACTCTGCGGTTCTCTGCTTCCTGTGAGCTGAGCCCACATTCCTGACTCAGGCAGCAGTGCTCAAGTGATACCATCTCCTCACTTCCGCAGGAGTGTTTGTAAACTCCCTTCTCTCCTCCGCCAGCTGTGGGACTATCCGTCCTCTCAGCCTCCCTTCTAACGGCCCCCAGATGAGCAAAATGGAAAAACTAGCATTTTCCACTTTATCGGCAACCTCCACCTCCTCAGGTCCTCACAGTCACTTTGGGATATAGGTAAGACACCTCCCATCAACAGAAAGCCCAGAGACAGGAAGGGACTTGCCCAGGGTCACATAGCAAGGCCATGGCTGAGCCTAGACCACGGCCCAGTCTCTGGACTCCTGGGTCAGATCTTCCCTCCCTGCCCTGCCTACCCCCGCCTGGTATTCACTTCTGTGTCCTGAGATATGCTGTCAGAAAATGCTGATGCTCTGTGCTCAGACAGCTGCCCTGCGGGGTAGACATTGTACCCATGGCCAGAGGGACAACCATCAACTGCCTCCTCTCTCAGCACAAATTGTTTTGTCTCCTAGGCACTCGGGCCAGAGGCAGTAGTGGGGCACAGAGGGAAACCGAGGCCTAGAGTCCAGGGGTGCAGATTCTAGCCTAGCTCTGTGGTCCCATATGACCTCAGGCAAGTCTCTGGCCCTCTCTAGTCCTCTAGTCCCGACTGTAGGATGTGGACATAACCCTGTATTCTACTCCCCCGCCTCCCGCCATGGTGCTGTCAGATCAAAGGTTTCAGGGGACAGTGGAAGTTCACTGGACCAGGAGGGGACTGAGCCGGGGCAGAAGAGGGAAGGGTGGGTGTGGCCCCTGGCCCAGGAGCCTGGTTAGTAGCTCTGGGCTCTTTCTCCACCCAGGTGTTGTGTCCCAGCCTCACTGCTGGTGGGGACATGGGACAACATCCCATGGTATCCCCCCTCCCCCAGTAACTCCCAACTTGAGATCAGCAAGGACCCAGCCTGGGGAGGGGAGAGAGGGAGGAGGAGGGAGATCTCTCCCTGCCCAGCCATGAGGTTAGACAGAGTCAGAGACAGAGATGGGGCGAGATGGAGAGACCCAGAGGCGGGGTGAGGAAAGACAGAGAAACAGAGATGGGCCAAAGAGACAGAGACAAGAGAAACACAGAGATGAAGTCAAGCCAGCTGGGGAGAGAGAGAGAGAAACTGGGCCAGAGTGATGAAGAGACAGCAACGTGGAGATCCAGAAGCAGAGACCTCCAGAAAGAAACAGAGAAGGACAGAAAGAGAAACACAAATGAGACAGAGGGACAAAGAAACAGATGCAGCGAGAGGCCCAGACAGACAGACGGAGGGATGGAGGACAGCACAGGCGGCAGTCTCGCACTCACTGAACTTTTTGCTGGCTTTTCTGGGCCCCTCTGTCATCCTGGCGAGCTGTGCAGAGCCCTGGGGCAGCAGGCGAGTGGCCACTTGAGGCTCTGGACATCAACAGTGATGTGCCTCCCCACCTCCCCTTCCCCTTTCTCAAGCCCTCTCGCTGGCTTCCTCTGTGTATTTTTAAACTAGTGAAACTCCCACAGCCCCACCCTCCCCACCCTCTCCGCAGGGGGCGGGGGCCCGGGCCTCCCCAGTCCCAGCCCCTCTGGGTTGCCTCATTGGTCTCAGCAGCAGGGAACAGGGGGAAGACTGCAAGCCCGTGGGATCTGGAAGGTCTGGGGAGCAAACCACAGGCTCTGGGAATGGAGCCCACTGGGCCAGGGGCCACCAGAGGCCTCCAGCAGCTATCAGGGGGTCTTGCCAGTGAGATGGGAGGGTACGGGGAGCCAGGTCTGCATGCAGGGCAGTCGTAATAAGCCTTGGTACCCTGGCAACTGTGGTAGGAGAGTCTGTAGTCAGGCCTGTGGGCTCTGGGGCCACTCAGACCCCAGTTCAACTCTTGGCTGGCCACTTGGCCACCTTGTGATCTTGGTCTGGGGAACTCACTCGCTGAGCCTCAGTTTCTTCTCTGTGAGCAGGGTCCAGTGCTTGGCACAGAGCCTGGCACAGATTCTATGCCTACCAAGGCATGGTCACTTATCAGGGACACAGTAGTAATTTGGTCCACCACACCCATTGTACACAGAAGGGGAAACTGAGGCACAGACAGGCAGAGGGATTGCCCCAGGTTACACAGTAGGTCAGTGGCACAGACTGGGTTACAATTTGCCCTTCCGGGTCCCTTAACCTGAGCTCAGTGCTTTCTCTACCCGACAACCTTCCCTTATGTACACGCTCATGTGAGCAGGACAGAGATGAGGAAATGCAACCTCCCCTCAAGCAGGAGAGACACCTGCAGAGGCTGTCAGCAGTTGCTCGGGTTGGGGCGGCAGTAAAACCAGGGGTTTGAAATCCCAGTTCTATGTGTGCAGACAAGTTACTTCTGCCACTGAAGCCTCAGTCACCTAATCTCTAAAATGGGTACGAGGTCTGCAGTCAACCTGCAGAGGCTCTGGCATTGTTTCATTACTATTTTGGCCTCCAGACTGGCAACCAGGCCTGTGAGGGAGGAAGTCCAAGGTCAAATGGAGCTGCTTCTTGCATCCTCCATAAAAATAAGGATGACGACTAGTATCTTCTAATTGCCTACTGCATTCCAGCCACACGGCTCAGTCCTTTGCTCTAAGAGGTAAATGATATTACTTTTGTCCCCATTCTACAGATGTGGAAACTGAGGCCCCCGAAAGTTAAGTCATCTGGAGTTGGAACCTGCTTGGTCCAGCCACAGAGCCTGAGGTTTTAACTGCTACATCCATGGCCTCCCCCGACCTCCTGTCAGATAGGTGATGAGCCTTGGTGGGAGAAGGGTCTGGATGAAACTTCTTGATGATGTGAGGGTGAACAGGAGCCCTGAAAGGGAAAGGGATAGATCCCAAGAGGCCAAGGCAGCAGGGTTCCAGCTTGCAGATAGGCCTGGATGAGTCCAGTGGTCAAGGCTCAAATGAAAGGAAGGGGTTTCTGGGCCATGAACTTGGAAGAAGAAGGTACATCCCCAGCTCTTTCTACTGAGTGCTGACAATGTGCCAGGTATAAGGCTGGAAGCCTCCATGATCCTGCATTTGAATCTTTACAACAGATCTACCATGCAAATTCCGGTACTGTCCCTATTTCACAGATGAGGAAACAGGCTATCCGAGGAGGAGCCGACTGGAGAGACAGAAATCTAGGTGTCCAGCCTTCCAGGCCAGTGCCCTTTCCTGTCTCAGGTTGATGTCAGAAGATGGAGAGGGCCCCATGGCCTGGCAGGAGCCAGGGGGTCTTCCTAGCAGAAAGCAGGGGGTGGGTCCCCTAGCTCCTCTCCCAGGATGCAGTTCCAACACAACTTGGGCTAACTTCCAGGGTTGTGTCATCAGCTGGTTCTGGCTTCCCCACCCAGCCTACAAGTGACTTGCTGTGTGATCCTGTGACTTACTTCTCTGGGCCTCAGTTTCCTCATCTCTGAAATGAGGTCACAATAACCCCCATCTCCTGGGGTTGCTGAGAGGATGAAAGGAGCAAATGCTAGCACGTCGTGGGCCTCAGCAAGCACTGGCTGTTTTTGCTGTGAAATGGGAGAGAGACAGGGAAGGGGCAGATTGGCCCAGGCCAGGAAAGCCTCGGTGGGTGGGTGAATGGTGTGAGCCACAGCAGGAATCGCTGCTTTGGCGGATGCTCCCCCTCAGTGCTCAGGCCGGCCTGCCATTGGCCGGGGCGCCAGGGCAGTTGCCACTGTCCCTGGGAGACTGAATGGAACTCAGTGTGGCGGCTCCACCAAGCTCAGAGCCCCCTTTGTGCCGCCTCAAGTGGCCGTTGGGAGTGCGGCTGGGAACCTGCTGACGGGTGGCTGTCCCACAGGCCCTTCTCAGCCCGAGCTGGAGGCCAGCCCCGCCCAGCCCAGGCTTCACAGCCCTGAACACACTAACTAGCGCTCTCCTGCCTCCAGGCCTTTGCCTGGACTGGACCCACCCTGAGAATGCTGCTCTTCCCTCCACTGGCTCAATCTTTTGATTCCTTCCAGTCTCTCCAGATCCGGCCTGAGCCACAGTGCCCCCAGGAGCCCTGCTCTGATTTCTGTCCCCTTTCCTTGCCCCTCTCCCCCAGTCTATGACTCAATTGCCTGAAGCTTGGCCAGTTACTATCAGGAATTGGAGACCTAAAACTTCATAGTCAAAGGCATTGGACTCAGGCAAACCCAAGTTCAGTCCTCACCTGTGTGACCTTGGGCAAGTCATGTCTCCTCTCTGAGCCTCTTTTCCCTGTTAGAAGAATGGAGCAAATACAACATCCCACCCAGGATCTTGTGAAAGTGAAATAAAAACATGCATACTGAGGTTATCGTTCTTATTACATTCACTTGTGTCTTTATTTACACTGTTCCAAACAGAACTCAAGCTTCGTGGATGCCTTACCCATCCATATTGGCCCCTATACCACAGGTGCTCAATAGATGCTTTTCCCTGGGTTGACCTGGTTGCCTGGTACTGGGGACAGTATAGGATGATGGTTAATGACCCTGGACTTTGAGAGTGAATAGACCTGGCTTTGAATCCCAGCTCCATTGCTTCCTGGCTGAGCGGCTTTAGCCAGGCCACTTCACCTCTCAGACCCTCAGCTTCCTCTTCTATAACCTGGGCCCAACAATAGCACCTCCCAGGAGAGGTGCTATAAAGTTTCAGGGGATAATGACACATGTCAACACACGCCAGACAGAGTCAGTGCCCAGCCAGTGTGGGCAAAACTTCCATGGTTTTACAGGGCTGTGGACATCACCAGCCATTCTGTCTTGTATCCCTCTACCTAGTGATCCCTTATCTTTCTGGTCGCACAAGCAGCCAAAAGCAGCCCAGCCCAGGAGCCTGTCTTCTCTATTCTCTCCACATCTCTCCATCCCATTCTTACTCTGGGGTGCGAAACAGCTGGTCCAGGCCAGGGTCAAAAAGCTGTCCAGTAGCTCCCTCTCCTGCTCTGTGTCTCAATTGCCCAAACTGTTAAATGTGCAGCAGGACAAAGGACTCTTCAGAGCCTGGTCAGTAGGTCGGCCAGCAGACAGTTACTGAGTACCAGCCACATGCCCAACCTTGCCAGCTTAGCTAATCCGTGGGAAGCAGGAAACAAGCAAAACAGAAGTCAAAGTTAATGAGAAATTGTTTCTGGCTGGAACCCTAATTTCTTCTCACTTTTACCTGAGTTTTGCCAGTTTTAGTGGGTGGCAGCCTTCAGAAGGGTTCCTGATCCCCCCTTGCCTGCCTTCCTCTCCCAGGGAGGGCTGAGGGCTCAAAGTTCCAAGAGGAAGTGACTGACGGATGTTGGGGTTCAGGCCAGGGTAGGCTGGAGGTGATGACACTACCGGAACCTCTCTGAGGTCTCTGCCCACAGGACGTGGCTTAGGGGAGGCGTCGTGGGAAACATGCAGTGGGCCCTGGCCTGAAAGTCTGAGCACGGCAGCCACACAGACCCATGGCAGACACCCCCATTGCTACTTTGCCTTCCCCCACCTCCCATCCTACCTCCAGGCCAGCTTGTCTGTTTCATGGCTCTGCCCTGGCTCCACCTCCAGTCTGGATGGGCTGGGCCCTGACATGGGTAAGGGCTTGGGCTTTATGCCACGCAGACCTGGTTCAAATACCAGCTTGGCCACTGGCCAGCTGTTTGACCCTGGGCAGTGACGTCACCTCTAAGTCCCAGTGTGTACAATAGAGTTGAATATAGTACCCACCTCATATGGTTGAGTGAGAATTGAGATAATTCTCATACAGTGCTAAGGGTAGGGCTTGGCTCATTTATTTTCCCTCAATAAATGTTAATTACTATAATTATTATCTTTGCCCTCTCTGTCCTCCCCCACCCCCAGATTAGCCAATGGGCTCCCTGTCTCTAATAGTTCATCCATGAAGCTGGCCCATCACTCTCTGACACATCACTCAACTGCATAAAACCCTCACAGCCTCCACACTGCCCTCAGGAGAGGCCTCCCCACTCCTCAGACAGACCCTTAAGGCCCTCCCTGGCAAGGCCGTGCCCCAGAACAGGGCCTCTTGGGACACCAGGATCAGCAAACCCATTCCTGCCTGCCACAAGGAGGCTTCAAGGCCAGGCAGTGTAGGGTAAGAGCTGGGGAGCAATCCTGAGCTTTCTGTAGGCAGAAAGGGTACTGGGAGAGGGGAGGAAGGAGTGGGGAGCACAGCCCGGAAGGCAGGAAAGCTTAAGGAGTTAGGAAACAGAAGAGAGATTCGTGTGGCCACGACCTAGGGAGGTGAGCTGGAAAGAGCCTCGAATATCACAAGACAGCAGAGGGTTTGAAGAAGGCAGGGAATACATGCAGACTCCACTCTGGAATAATCTGTCAGGTGCTGTGAGGACAGAGGGAGCCAGACTGGGATGACCAGGATTCAGGATTCATTTGCAGAGGGCTGTAGAGAAGGGGGCAGATTGAAGGACACAAAAAACGACATTTGTAGAGGACATAGAAGAGACAGCTTTGCTAGGGGCTGGTCATTGGGCAGAACTGGAGGAAGAAATGGAGGCTCCTAGTGCTAGGAAGATACCAGGAAGATGCTGGGGAAGGCATAATTTGGACGGGGATGGGGGAGGTGTACAGCCAGGAGTGGGATGGTGGGTGAATGGTGGGCTTAGCGCCTGGCACGAGGACAGCATACCTCAGACAGCATCACTGCTATCCTCCTGAGCGTACTGTAAATAGCCTGAGTCACAAGAATCCTCTGCAGATTCAGAGACCAAGTTAAGTTCCAGCTTTGCCACTGTGTGACCTTGCGCAAATGACCTCACTTCTCTGAGCCTCAGCGTCCTCCTCTGTAAAATGGGTTAGTGATCCTGACTATGGGGGCTGTTGCCAGGATTCAGCGGGAGCGCCCAGCACTTCTTGAGAACAGTAGGGTGCTCAGTAAGTGTTAGCTATTTTTATGGGCCCAACCGGCTCTGGTGCAGCACGGATGGGGTGGGGGTGCTGTGGTTCTTATTCCTGCTTCCCAGAGAGCCAGGGGTCCCGGGCCCAAGGCCCGGGCCTTGCTGGCTCC